TAAAATGTGAGCGACATCTCCGAAAATGCATAAAAGATCGAGAGTGTTGTATAGGTAATATGATACATAATATTATGAAGGCATTTGAAGTTGTAATATCATCTTGTTAGTTGTTGTACAACGGCTGTCTACAGGGAGCAGGATGAAAACTTAAACCGTTACCAGCCAACTTGTTAATTAAAATTATTCAATTATATATTATTATATTATGTTGTTGATTAACTGTTACTATAAATACTATAATACTGCACGCGTTGTTTTSWGACTTTGTYAATACGTGTTCCGATTGTTTCGGGAGCAAGTTTTATTGAAATGCATATAGCGTTATTCCTACTCGTTATATTATTATMATTATTATTACACTGTTATAAGTCTGAAAACGTCAGATTCAGTCGTACCGAAGGCGAATCACAGCTACGACTTATAGTAATATATGTAATAATATTAATATAAACGCGCACAGAGAGCGGCATTAATTATAAATGCGAATCGGCAAACCGTGTTTACTTTCCGAAACTTACCTGTCGAACTTCGGGCGGCCGCGAATMGGATTTCAAAKGTTTTCCGAGTAACAATGACTTACGTATACCCACCCGTGTGCTCTTACCCGTAAACTTCAGTCTCGGTAGAATATTGTGATGACGACGTGCGACGCTCAATAATTATAATTATTTTCATGGTAGTAATAAGAGTAGGTAATAATAATATGTGGTTATTTATTATTTCTTGTGCATAATATCGCAACAATATTCGATCGTTCGTTCTGTTCGTGAAGCCTCGGAAAACATGCGGCACCCCAACCCCGTCACCTGACAAACTAATCGCCCGAAGCGTTTACAAAAACCGTCAACATCGGTCTTTGTATTACAWTATTATTATTAGATACAGTTTTCCCCGAAAACGTTACGTTTGTACGTGGTATAGTTATTATTCATATTATAAGTTTAATTTATATACATATTATTATTATGTGGATTTAAACGAAAACGCTCATTCACGCTACGAACGCTATACTTATAATGAATATTGCAACTCATCAAGTTAACTTAACCGTCGGCAATCGTTACGATTTCACAAATCAAGGGYCCAGAAACGATTGTAATTTGTAATGCCCTACCAACTTTTAGTGATAAACGTTAATAACAAATGGTTTAAAAATTGTAAATACAACTTAGAAAATATTTATCATAACGAATTAACATTAAATGTATTGGATATTTATAATTTTACTAATTATTAGGTGTTAATTACTAAAAAAATTTTATTTTCATAGTATGTTGTTGCGAGTGACTACACTGTTTTATAAATTSATTTTGGTATACCGCATTAACAGTGACGTCAATCGAGGGACAACTGGGCGAGTTAAAAAAAGKGGTACCGATTTTAAAAACAATTGTTGGGGAAATTATTACTTGGCACGAGTCCTTTTTGCCATCCGGATATCCGGCGCACATCATGTTGGCCGTAATCCGTTTTTCGTTGTATTCCGTTTTCTTACAATCGTCGTTGCTCATGATCGGCACGTACACCTCGTGCAATACCTGCGACGATGAACCTCCCTGTTTCTTTGCTCCCCAACCGGTKATGACGCCCTCGTAACCAGCGAAACTCTTGCCTACAACGGAAAAYGGTCGTGTATATGTTGTATAATATTATATTTATCGAAACAATGTCATTAGGTAACCCAGCCCGACCATAACTCGATCTGAATTCTGAATACGTTACCTTCGGTCGGCAGACAAACCGGATGGATACCAGTGTTGGGTCCGAATTCCACCCCATCGGTGTCCATACGCAACAGTGCGATGTCGTTATTGTAAGATGTCGGGCTATACCCCTTATGCTTGACCACCCTCAACACTTTGAAGTCGATGTGTTTCGCKTCCTCCATATTGCTGCGATCGTGTTCCAAAAGTCGCACGCCGATATTTTTCGCGTCAAATCTATGTTTGAAATCGTTCGGAATATTATTGTTTTTTTTTTGTATATATACATTAAAAAACGGCTTTATTAAAATAATATATTAAGTGTGCTCGGTAGAAATATGAAAGAGTGATTGAAAACCATATATGATATTGATAATCCATGTATATACGATATAAGTATATAGTGTGACAATAATATTAGTTTAATTTAATTTTAAAAATATTTTCAACTACCTAATGGCACTTTTCCGARAAAAAAAGTTAAAATCAATAAATCATGTAATTTCGAACTTTTTAAAATTTTATTTTAATTCACGAAGATTTACACGAAAAATTACAATGATGTTACGATAATATTATCGTCAATTATTTAACTGTAATTGGACTTGTCGAATACTCTGAATAATCATAATTTATAAAGTTGTACATATACTCATACCAAAAATACATTCATATTAATACAATTTTTGAAATTGATTTCAATAGGCCCATGTACTCGTATGCACATATAATAATATTRTAATATGATATAGTGAACCGTGGTATATATTATACTGTGTATAGTTACCCGTGCACGCAATGTGCGGCCGTCATGACGTATTTGTGATTGATGACCGTCCCGCCGCAATAGAATTTGCCCTTGTACGTGAGCATGGCCATCCACGGGTATTGGTGTACGTACGTGGGGGTTCCTCCGACAATTCTGTTCTTCTTGCCCAAAGCTCCGCAAGCTTGAACAACAATTAATACGTTTATATTATGAACATAGCGATAATCATAGCATATTATTCAGTGTTTTTTCCCCGTTTTCCTCCAGTGACTCGGTGCMRATTAGTCTTAATCGGAAAACACAGTGGGCCCRTCCCRTGTATGTATAATTATAATAGTAATAAGACAAAGTCTCATAACTATCGATGAATTTATAATGATATCGAGTATTTTAGCACTCACTGCATGGGGCGCACGTGGACTGGTTGATCGGCGTTATGGGTGTCTCGGCGACGGGTTCTTCGGTTTGGTTGATGATGCCGATAATGTTTTGCCACCAGTTGACGTAATCCGCAAAAGCTGATTGACTGAGATCGCCGGGCTTGCCCTCAGAGTGGTTGACCGTGATGAGTACCTTAAAAACAACACACACACACAGGTGTCAGTCGACATACGATTAACGAAATCAAGGCGAAAATCTATCGTTTATCGGTCGACCGATTATCAAGTGCTTCTCATCCACTCACCGGTGCCCTCTGGCAAGAGGGTCCGACCAGCGCCGCGACGGTCATCAAACACAAGACGTTCCACATCATGGTTGGATATTATGGTTTCTGAAAACGCGACGGGTGACAGTTTATACAATATAGCAACAAAAATCGAATAAATATTCAGATTTCGGAAGCAGGCGATGATGTGTCGACTGTTCGATTGGGTGAACTGCACTGATCATAACTCGCACCGAACGCGAGTATTTATATTAGCCCGACGCGGAATTTTTTTCATCGGGTTTTCGCGTCATATTGCGATCGCGCGCATCGCGTCCGCGTATGCTTTCGACCAATACCGAGGTCATGGTCGACTCCGGGCCTTGCCGGGTACCGCCGACCGACCGTCTACTAGACGTTAATAATAATAACTACGTTGATGGCAATGTTAATGACGATGACTGTGATAACGATGGCGCTTGGGTCTGACAACGTGAAACTTCCGCAACATGGTTTATTGCTGATAACAACGTCCGACACGGGTCGGGTGAGCATAAGTGTATCGGCGGCAACAACCGCTGYTTCTAGGTCACGTCCTAATTCCGCATATTAATCGTCCCGAAAAACGATATAATACCCATCTAMCTATGCATTTCGGTAGAATTGAAATGAATCATGGGGGAGGGAAAAAACAGATTGAAAATAATGGATCAGAAGTAACCCACATAATTCGTATTATGGTGACATCRTTCGGTTCTCTACCATGACCTTTAATATTGTTTCATTCGTGGGTAGATATTATTCACTTGTTCTAGCTAAAACCTGCAATGGTCTATACAAGCAAGTCTCAGGTAACCTAGCTATATATAGACTAGCCTAGACAGATCGAAAATATCAAGTCTTTTTTTCTATCAATTTAAGGATGGCCGAGTATAAAAGAAACTGTTTGATTTATACGCATTAACTCATYTTACATTTGACACATTCGTGACTTTTTTCCACCATATAGGTACAAAMAAATATCAAACTCGGTTATGCATYTGTATAAAATAAATTTTATTTTATTTKTATCGTAAGTTGCAATACATATGATGTAGAGATAAACGTCATATACATATTTATCTAGCTATTACAATTCAAAATCATCTTAACACGATCAGATAATTTAAAAAGTACCTATTTAAAGTGTTAAGTAATTATGATGTTACTTTTAAATCAATTAGTGAGGCTAATAAAGTAAAACCAAATAAACTTGAAATAAATAATTTGTTATTATTCAGCCTATTATATTAAAACTACTAATCAACAAGTAAATCAAAATATTCTAGATTTTTATCACCTACATGATATATATTTATAGGCAACTGTGTTTTACTAATTAAATGGAATCATTGTATAGTCCATAATATCACTTATCCATTTATCTAAATCTACTGACAAAAAAAAAAAAACAATTTGAATACTGTTGAACGTAAAATAAAAATTGTCACAAATGATTAAAACTATAGCCTTTATTATTCCATTACCATAAGCACAATTCGTTAGTTATACACTAACATAACAATATAACATTGGAATTGATAAAAAGTAATTACAATAGGTATAATAGGTAAATCGTTTCTTATTATAATAAACAAATCGACMTAGACAATTTTGACTTAACAATTCATCCGTTGTTTTATCTCGTGTTTAATGTTTCTCATGTTGTCCTTGAAAAATTACAACCCTTTAAAAAGCTGTGATTGTTCAAATCTTTTTAGATGTAACTCACTGCAATTCAGCCACCTTGATAGGCAATCAATTTTATATATATTATATATTATATCAATTAATAGGTAAACCTATTAAAATATGTTGCTTAAATAATGTAATTAATGTTAATATTATTATTAATTTAATTTAATTTAATTTAATACAATTAAAGTTGACATACCAACAGCAGCGTCACCTACCGGGTCCAATTGTATATTTAAAATAATTCAGGAAACCGTCGAAATACCCATATCAAATTTCAACCTAATCGGTTCAGCCGTTTAGGAGTTATGTGATAAAGATAAGTACGGAAGAATAATTCATATTACCCTTTGTCCTATTACCAGTTTTCCCGTAGGAATGAATCATTTTACCGTGGTAAAAAGTAGTCTATGTTCGTCATAAGAACTAATGCATTATGCATATAAAAGCATAATGCCGACTTCTAGTGGTAAAACAATTTTTCAAATTGGTCCAGTAGTTTCGAGGTCTATTAAACACAAATAAGGAATCAAATCTTTCCTCTTTATAATATTAGTCTAGATATATATACATATATATATGTATATATATATATATATATATGTATTAAAGCGTTGTACTTCTAGTATCTAATATCAATCGAAATGTTAAAAAGAAATACCTAATACTTATATTTATAATTTATATATAGGTATGTTAAAAGTACATTGAGAAAATTAAGTGATTTTAACAACCAGATCGTCAATGTTTTATTAAAAACTCACTTTGGTATCAATAATGATAACTCTATTAAACACTGGTCATACGAAACATTCTTGTTACAATTGTCTCGATAAAAAAGTTTTAAAATTGTAATACCGATTTATCAAGAATTACCCATATTTTATATTTAAAAATGTCAGTTTAAAAATAAAATATAAAGTAAAATAAATACATATTATAACATTGACTTATCGTTGCATATATTTTTTACAATTTGTTTTTACATAAATAAATGCAATCAAAAAAAAAAAAATAGGTCTAATACGCACAATTCGTATTTGAATGAGTCAAATTATATTTAATAGGGCACTCGTTAAGACCAAACTAATTTTATCATTGAACGTTTTTACAGGAATAAAAATAAATACATCGTGAGCTTTATATCTCATTTAAAAGCCAATTTAATATTTCAAACCTATTTGTAATAGGTAATGCAACTAGCCACGTTCAGTTTGACTTATAATGCCTATCTATTTATTAGTCATCAGTTAAAATATGTGACCACATATTGTCTAGCCATGTAAACTGCGTAAATGTTTTTAATGTACACTAATCAAATAGGTTATTACATTTAAAATACATTTTTAAAACGTGTCAACTATTTATAACTTAACTATAAATGTCAATAGATATAGCAAAATGAACAAACTAATAATATTTTAAATAAGCATTAACCCAGTCACACAACCATAGCTGGATGTAGCTGTACTATGTACAGCTATGTATGTGCTATGTAGCTATTTTATGTAGCTGTACATAAAATAATATTATAGAAAAAAATGTAGTTTTTGTTACTGAATAAATTTTTTTAAGTTATAATACTCGTATTATGATATCCTTGTTACAGATTGTTTCATAACTAGATTTGAATATCACTAATGAAAAATTACTATACTAAGTCTTTAGAGTACGCCAMGGGTTCCGGGAGAAAAAAATAATCTGTTATTAAATATTGTTATTAATAATAACTTATTATATTGTTTACAGAGCAAATTAAAAACGGTTTTTGTGTAAAAACCCGTTCGCTGCGCCAGGGTAAGTGACCTATAAAGTATTTTTTTCATCGTATACCATATTGAATCGAATAGTTAAATTTGAATATAATACTTGTCATCTTTGTATCCAATTTGWATACTATTGTAATATCTAATAAATACTATATTTTATTATACTACGCATGGATCTCCGAGTCTGGCGAATTATTATTTATAGCTTACGCGCAATCCAATAGCCGTTTCAATTTTAGATCATAAAAACTAAATCGTCACAAGTTATGAAAAATATCGTAACTTAAATAAGAATATTATACTGTAGACGGACGCAGACAATCGCTGCGTAATGACGCAGTAAAGTTTAGAMGTCATATTTTTTTACGATACAACAAAATATMAACTTTATGMAACATATATCTTATCCGACGACGAATATGCGTGTTTATATTTAATAATAACAAATGAAATAGTATTTTTATTTTAATATTTATTTATTTATTTTAAAAGCGATAGTAGATATTTTATTGGCAAMAATAATGATAAGACGGACACAATTTGCATGTTTATCACATTTGCAAATTTTTCGTTTGAATAATCCTATATCCGAACATAACAAAGGTGTTACATTACATTGAGATTTGCGGTTGTTTTCAGCCATATTTGATTTTGCTAATTATGCAATAAACGTTAGTCGTATAGATAATAAATTATCACTTTTATCATAATTATTTATTTTTCTAATTAAAGGCTTTCGTACTCGTATATCTGAGTTATAAAGGGATTTTATCAGACGTGTGGGTCATGATCATTTTTAGACCTTGTGGATGGTATTGACCTTGTTACCCATATGTTTTAAAAATGCATATATTTATTTTAAACGAAATAAAACAAGAGRAACTACACGTGAGTTTCGTAATCTGTTGGATGTAGATTAGGAGATCAAATTATTCACCAAATTTGAATACAGAATACAAACTATGCATCATAATAACATACTATCATATTCAAAATKTGTTTTATCAACTATACAAATGGAAATTTTCAATATTATATATTTTTTTTTCTAGGGRAACCCGCAGAAACATAGGGTGTGGGTGGTACGGTAGGGGTTATTTTTTTGTAGGTTTTTAAATTGGTACGTTGTAACACATATTTGTGTATGTGTTGCTTTTTTTATTTTTCTTATAAATTGTTCCTGACATACAAGGTAATCAAACTTATTGATATGATGATAAAAAATTTAACATTTAGAATTGGTAAACTTGAAGATATGTTGCTAAAAATTCAGGGTGGTCAGCCATCTGGAAGCTAGCAACTGCGGCCGGTACGTACGCTCAGTACGTTATCCCGGTGGATTTCYTCACCAAGCCACAATATTATATTTTATAAACGTTTAAAAGT